ACAGTGACTAGAGCCAAATCCCTGCAAGCTGCATGGAAACTTTTTAAAGACACCATAATAGAGGCCCAACTTAAATGTATACCCCAAATTAAAAAACATAGCTAGAGACCTAAAAAAGAGTCACCGTGGCTTAACCACCATGTAAAAGAAGCAGTGAGGGACAAAAAGGTATCTTTTAAGAAGTGGAAGTCCAATCCTAGTGAGATAAATAGAAAGGAACATAAACACTGTCAAATCAAGTGTAAACATGTAATAAGAAAAGCAAAAAAAGATTTTGAGGAACAGCTAGCCAAAAACTCAAAAATAAATAACACAATGTTTTTTAAGTACATTAGAAGCAGGAAGCCTGCTAAAAAACCTGTGGGTCCCCTAGATGATTGAGCTATAAAAGGAGCAATCAAGGACGATAAAGCCATTGTGGAGAAACTAAATGATTTCTTTGCTTCAGTCTTCACGGCTGAGGACGTTGGGGAGATTCCTGAATCTGCACCGTCCTTTGTGGGTGATGAATCTGAGGAACTGTCCTGGATTGAAGTGTCATTAGAGGAGGTTTTGGAACAAATAGAAAAACTTAATGTTAACAAATCTCCGGGACCGGATGGCATTCATCCAAGGGTTCTAAAAGAACTCAAATGGGAAATTGCTGAGCTATTATCTGTGGTTTGTAACCTATCCTTTAAATTGGCTTCCGTACCTAATGACTGGAAGGTAGCCAACGTGACACCAATATTTAAAAAGAGCTCTAGCAGCGATCCTGGCAATTACAGACTGGTAAGTCTAACTTCAGTACCGGGCAAATTAGTCGAAACAATAGTAAAGAATAAAATTGTGAATCATGTAGAAGAACATAATTTGTTGGACAAAAGTCAACATGGTTTCTGTAAAGGGAAATCCTGTCTTACTAATCTATTAGAGTTCTTTGAAGGGGTTAACAAGCATGCAGATAAGGGGGATCCAGTAGATATAGTATACTTGGATTTTCAGAAAGCCTTTGACAAGGTCCCTCACCAAAGGCTCTTGTGTAAATTACATGGCCATGGGATAAGAGGGAAGGTCCTTTCTTGGATTGAGAACTGGTTAAAAGACAGGAAACAAAGGGTAGGAATAAATGGTAAATTTTCAGATTGGAGAGGGGTAACTAGTGGTGTCCCCCAAGGGTCAGTCCTGGGACCAATCCTTTTCAACTTATTCATAAATGATCTGGAGAAAGGGGTAAGCAGTGAGGTAGTAAAGTTTGCAGATGATACAAAACTGTTTAGGATATTCAAGACAGAAGCAGACTGTGAGGGACTCCAAGAAGATCTCACCAAACTGAGTGATTGGGCAACAAAATGGCAAATGAAATTTAATGTGGATAAGTGTAAAGTAATGCACATCGGGAAAAATAACCCCAATTATACGTACAGAATGATGGGGGCTAATTTGGCTACAACAAATCAGGAAAGAGATCTTGGAGTTATCATGGACAGTTCTCTGAAAACTACCACACAGTTCTTCTTCACACAGCGTGTATTCAACCTGTGGAACTCCTTGCCAGAGGAGGCTGTGAAGGCTAGGACTATAACAGCGTTTAAAGAGAAGCTAGATAATTTCAAGGAGGTTAGGTTCATAAAAGGCTATTAGCCAGGGGATAAAATGGTATCCTTGGCCTCTGTTTGTCAGAGGCTGGAGAGAGATGGCAGGAGACAAATCGCTTGATCATTGTCTTCGGTCCACCCTCTCTGGGGCACCTGGTGCTGGCCACTGTCGGCAGACAGGATACTGGGCTAGACGGACCTTTGGTCTGAACCAGTACAGCCGTTCTTATGTTCTTATGTTCTTAGAGGAAAGGGTCTGTTATGATGAATTTCCCATTTTAAAAATTGAAAAAAATATTTTAAAATAATCAGTGCACCCGACTATTCATAGAATTGCAAAACCTATTTGCACTGGAACTTTTTAAAGCCAAAAGTAACTTGTGGACATGGTTCTACTTGTCCTTGAGTTTTCTTAGAACTTCCTAGTACACAGCCTAAATTTTAGCCAGATTTTCAACCAGACAAGGTCTCTTTAGTGAATGGAAATCAGAAAGTGAAATTGACTATAAACAGAAAATGAAGCTGACCACCCTGGTTGGATTGTCTATCCTGAGTTAAAGAACAAAAATTAAACAAACAGAATAAACAGGCAAAGGAGATATAAAAAGATTTTCCAGCTTAAAGATTCTGTCTCTAGTTCCATGCACAGCCCCAAGCCCTTGATTCCCTGGCTCATTGCAAAGGGGGTTCTCTGGGAAAGGTATTACATCTCCCATGTACTGCCACCACCCAAAAAAGGGCTGTGTATGCCTCATCCCTGCAGAGCTTTGTCTGTCAGCCCAACCCAGCGCAGCCCCCTTGCATACAATCTGTCTCTTGGTGGTTAAGATACGGAGAGTCACTTACGATCATCGCTGAAGTCATCCACCAATATGATTTCATGCACCAGGTGCACAGGGGTGCGATTTAAAACACTGGGGAATGAAGAGAAACAAAAATCAGTGATAGTCCCTGAGCAGATAAATGAGTTAGGAGATGGGGAAAGGGCAGGGGGACTGATAGATCGATTGATCGACCAATATCAAGGTCAGGTATCAAGGTCAGAGGTAGACAGTGGACAGTGAAGCAACATACTGGAAGTCAGTACCTGAAGTCGCATCTAATTATTCTAAAGAGAGGAGAGCCCCTATTCTCCTCTGCCCCAGCCCTGCAAAGCCTGGAAGAGATTTGCCATGAACCTCAACATGCACATTGGAAGCTAAGTTTCACATGCTCTTCAGATCCCTTCCCCTCCTCTAGAACTACCGCTGGGTTACTGACAAGGGGACCGACACAAAACAAAATGTCCCATGGAAAACCCATCTTTTCAAGCCTCACAGGCATGGGAGGAAAAGTCCTGTTTTTATTGTGAGCAGATTGTGTTTCAAAGGCTGCAGAGAGGATAACAGTAGGTTTGAATCCTGCCTGTTTAATAAAAGAAAGAAGCTGGAGGTGATAGTTTAAACGCCCCTCCAGGAGTGTAGTTATTGTTAAATGGGGATGAAAGCTACAATCTCTTCTTAATTATACCAGCTACATTTTCTGTCATTAGAAATGCAGGGTCTAATTTTCTCCTGGCTTACAGTAGTATAAATCAGTGAAGTCAATGGAGTTATACTATTTTAAACTCTGCCTATGTGAAAGGAGGAAAGCTTGATTTTTTTGAAGGGAAGTTGGCTACTGATGGATTGGTTTTTGGTATAAAGCAGGGGTAAGTCAGTTATTTTTGGTCACAGTCCAACTTTCTTGGTCAAGGTATAGTCAAACCAGATTCTAGTGAAAATAATTAAGAAAAACCATTATAATTTACTATATATTTTGGAAAGTTTGTGCGTCTGTCTGCCTGTGTGTCCATTTCTTCGAGAACTCCTCCTAAATGGTAAGAGCTAGGATCACCAAATTTGGAGTGCGACTGCCTCTTATCATAACTTAAAGCAACATCAGGCTCTGGTTGTGCCAGGACAATGAGACGTGTGTGGACTGCAATTGTTTTGCATCAAATGGAAGGGGAGAGAAGTGAGAGTGGGAGAGTTATATTCACAAATGCCCACAAGCATGGGGGACAGTTATACTCACAAATGACCAAAGGGGGGGCAAGCAAGTGTCCCAGTCCCGGGGAGCAACCGGCGGCCTGCAGCATGGCCTTCACCACCCTAGCCTGCCCCAGGGAGCAGCTATTGGTTGCCATGTAGCCCCCGCCATCCCAGGCTGCTCCCAGGCCACCACGGCACATAGCCCCCACCACTCAGGTTGCCCCCCCAGGTAACAGCCACCAAACAGGCTGTGCAGCCCTTAGCCCCCTGCTCTGGGCTAGCCCCAGGGAGGAGCTGGTGAATGGTCTATGTGGCCTTCTGTCCATTCTGGGCCAGCCTTGGGGAGAAGCCCACAGATGAACCACGTGGCCCCCACTGCCCTGGCCTGGCCCCAGACCCAGACAATGCTGAGTAAGTCTTCTAGTTACTATATATTTGAGAGTTTCTCTGTCCATCCGTCTGTCTGTTCAAGAACTCCTACACAGTAAGAGCTAGGACCACCAAATTCAGTATGCAGCTTCTTCTTATCCTAACTTAAAGCAAGGTAAGGACTTGGCCGTGCCAGGATAATGGGATGTGCCTGGAATGGGAGTGCTTCTCCTAAAACCATGTGGAAAAGAGACAGACTCACCAGGCAGGTGAAAAGGACTCCTGGGACTGCCCCAGCCCATTAGGGCGGCTGGTGGGGGACGTGATTCTCACCTTCCCCCACCTAATTCATATGGGAACATTGCTGGCTTTTCTCCTGTGTCAGGAAGTGAGGGGAAAGAGCACAGTTTGCTCCATTCTTCACTTTTGCCGAGGAACACAAAGTGCAGATGAACCTGGGCCTGCCTCAGCTGGGGCATATGCACTCCCTTCCCCAGCTGTGCCTACTGGAGGTGCAGTAGCCAGAGACAGGCCCCAACCTGTTGTGGTGAGAGAGGGCTGGATATATCCTCTAGCCCTGGGCCAGCCTTCATTCTGCACCCCTCATCCCCAGCCCCACCCCAGAGCAATGATTTAAAGGAAGCGCACACATTTTTCATTTTATTTTCCAAAAAACAAAAATTGATTGAGTTAAAGACCTGAAAATGTGAGAAAACATCCACAATATTTAATAATTTCAATTGGTATTCTATTGTTTAACAATGCGACTAATCACTATTCATTTTTTGAGTTAATGACATGAGTTAACTACAATTAATCAATAGCCCTAATTTCAATAATCATCGAGCAAAATCCAATAGCTACATACACACTAATGATATATATTTTCGACAGAACAATGGTTTCCAAGTCACTTTCCTATGCTATTTTACATGGCATGTTTTGTATGAAATGTATCATAATTATATGATAGGGCCAATATGAGTTCCAGAGTGCTGATTTCAGATACAGCATGTCACAGTAGGCTTGGCAGAATTGTTTTTTTTTTTATTTTAAGGGGATAAAATGAATGTTTATCCCTAAGCATCTTTTTAGATTTTTATTGATTTAAATGTTCAGTTATGTAAAATTATGAGTTTTAAGCATTTTTTATTTATCAATTTAGATTTTCACAGTTGCAGGAAATTAGAGGGCATAGATTCCTTAGATAATAATTATTTAACAGCAATAGAAATTGAGATTCAAAATGTTCAGGCATTATAAACAAGTTATATGAAAGACAAGTCTTCAAGAGCACGTCAACATATACAAAGTAGACATTCTTAAATCAAACAATAATAAGGTTCTCAAGCAGCATTTTCTTCCTTCACTTATATGTAGATTTCAATTATTGATGGAAATATTTTTCTGTCCTTTTGTTCGTGTCTGATGAAATTGACAAAGAGATAAAAATCAGGTCATTAGAATCTCCTTCTCACACACCACTTCTTTATCTCACCCTCTCTACAATGCCTTTACTCTTTTCCCCTATCTTTTCTGCTCTCATCTTGTCTGTTTATTACACATTGCCTCTCCTTCTCTTCCATTGCTGCAGTCTCTCCCACCTGATACCCATTCAGGGCTAACATTCAAACCCACAATGTTCAAGTGGGTTCAGAGTAAGTCAACCCCCTCCTAGGTGGAAGTGATGCCTTACCCCACCTGTCCTTGTCCTGTGGGTACTGAGAATCTTCAACTCTCATTGAAATCAGAGAGATCTGGGAGTATTCAACCCACCATAGGATCAGGCCTTCGAGTTGCACGCAGAACTAAAATCTGCAATCAGTAATGCTGGGGTAAATCTGTACTAGCTCCACTGAAAGCACCACTGACTTATAACCAAAGTAACTCCATTGGTTTCAAGGGGGCTAGTCTGGATTTACACCAGCAAATGTGAGAGCACCACTGGTCTCAATCCTTGTAGAGTCAGGTCTTTGCCTGGTGTAAATCAGTGTATTGACGTCAGTAGAAGAATGCCATTTTGCAGAAGCTAAGAACAGAGGCTGTAAATGTAATATTTGAGTGACATCTTGATTCCAACCCCTAAGAGCAGTAACATTATCTGGGGAATATTCCTGTCCGTTCCATTGCACTAGCACAAGTGCAAATCCCTGGTGATAACAAAGGTGGGAGCTGCACTAATGCTAAGGCTGTCCTGGCTGCTGGCCTTTTTTAACATCAGAGGTTTGGACAGCACAGGGTTCCATGTGCCAACACATCCAAAAAGGATTAGCAAGAGTGTCTGGCTGCCCCTCTTCCTCCCAGAGATTGCACATTGCAATTGCCATGAGCTGTTCCCACCTGTCAAGTCTCTTTTTTTAATTATAATTATTATTATTAATAGGTTTGTCTTACAAAATACTAAAAAAAGCCCAAATGCAGGAGCTGAGTTCAGCAAATAACTGCAGCTAGGCATCAATACTGGGAGACAGGAGAGCAAGATCACGCTCAGCAGAATAGCGAACAGGATCTAATCACCTGGAAAGCAAACTTGGGGGAAGGGGCAGGAAAAGATGATTTGCAAAAAGAACCAGGAAAATAGACCCTGGAGCACATGGGGAAGGGGAGAGAAATAGTTTAGTTTAGGGCTGCCTAATCTGGTAAGAGGAAAACATCAGTGGGGCTAGTTCTGATCTAACTTAAACCAGCAAAACCAAAGGAGTCACTTGACTGAAGTCAAAGGACTGGGCTGTAATCTCAGATCTGCCCCTTACTGCCATTCTAACTGGGAACAGAACAAGCCACCAACAGAAAATGCCTCACTCTTGATAGAGGAAGGCTTGTACAATGGTTACATTATGATTTACCTGAACTGATTCCTCCCCTCCCGCCTCACTCACATTTTCTAGACTTTGACATTTTATCCTGATGTGGATGGGAAACTTCTTGCAAACCTCCAAACATTTCCACAGGAGAGAAAATCCTTCTCCGAATCAGCTTTCACTTGACTACCCCAAATGCAGTCTGGAGAACCAGGGAGTCAGGCTTCCAAAAAGGCACCGGACCTTTTGGCCTGCATTACAATGATCAGAATTTCACCTCCCCGTGTAGCAGTAATAATTTGCTCTGTCTATTTTTTGAATGGGCAGGTGAAGATGTTGCACACCCAGATAACACTGCTTGCTGTACTCCGAACAAGTCACAGTAAGTAAGGAAGATTTTATATCTATATTTTCAGCCATCATTGAAATGCAGCGGCTGTTCTGCAACAGCATCACTATGCATCTGTTCAGGACAGTGAGTGCAGAAAACATTCTCTCACTGAAAGTACCTGGGGAACTTGAGAGAGGTATAATGCAATCTGGCTAGAACTAGTCGACTCTTGCCAACCATACCCTAATGTCACCTTATTTTTACTCTCTTATGATGGAGAGCACTTTCCAACAGCACAGCATCCACAGCACTAGTTCATTAGCAACTCACAGAACAGGGCGCCCCATCTCAATTACCCACATCAGTTCCTACAACACCTATCCCTAATCCTAACCCTTTCC